GGCCCACCAGTGTCTGGAGCCTTATGCTTTGTTTATAAATGCATAATTTCACAATGAAATTAATCATTAATGATAACCAAAGTCATGTTTTTGCTCGTGTTGAAATGAATATGTATGTTAGATACTCAGGTTTTTACATTGTTTATTTTCTTATTCCTTTCTGAAGGCCATTTCTGTACAATATTTAATGACTACTTTTTATAGTGAAAACTGACTATATCATGCCTCATCTTGTGCACTAATTTTAAGCCTTTTTGGTAATTAAGTGGATGGACCTGACTATAAGCCTCAATTCTTTAGCGCTAGCAAGCCTTGCAACACTGAAAACTCAAGTACACAAAAACATGGTATGAAGCTGATATCCAAATGACAGAAAGACCTGAAAGACTGAGAGAATGGTGGCCTCCTAAAGACAATTAAGGATGTGGGCTTGGAGAGGAAGGGTCTGGAAAAAGTGGCATCAATTCTGGTGCAGACAATAAAGCAGAAGTGATGCAAAGATACTCATATGAGGGAATAGAGCCCGGGCTCGGAAGCTGGAATTGAGAAGGCAGTTTAGGGCCACTACAGACCTGGGAGTCATCCGGAATGAAGCAAATGCTGAAATCACACCTAGAACATTTGTAGATGTGGGATTTTCAATATAAATGTGAAAACAGTAAAATAAGGACTAAAGAACAGGGGCATCTTCACTTAGGTGGCCCCAACTATGAAACCACACAACTTACATAGGAGAAATGTGGTAACAGAGAGTAAGAAAAAGGTCAAAAGGAGAGAGCTGCAGAAACCTCTTGCACCATTCTTAGGATGCCACTGTGAAGACTGCCGTGAGACAGATTGCAGAGCAGAATGGGCAAGATTGCCTCTATTCAATCCTCACTGCCATTTGCTCTGTGCAGAAGTTTTGGCAAGTTATGAGATGACTTTGTGTCTCAGCTTGGTCACTTATAACTGAAGATGACAAGCTCATGTGCTTCTCCTGAGACTGTCTTTAGGATCAAGAGCGTTTCTCCACGGTAAGTGATGACGTTAGCACTTTGCCCAGAGTAAACATTTTATATGTTAGCTGTGTCTATATTGTGGCTTTTCTGGGTTTCTGTGGCCAAAACAGAGCCTATTCTTATCTAAAAGTAACAACAGGGTTGCTCTATGATTTTCCCATGATTGTCTTAGGTCAGTAAGTACAAATATTACTAAGTGTTAGAGTCTCAATGACAGCATTCAGGGTCCACCTGAGTTTCAGTAGGTCCAGCAAACAGCATGAGTTTACCTTTCTAGTAGCCCATAGCTCATGCTCTCCATCCAAGAACCATACTTTGAGAACAAACTGTCACAGTGAGTAGGAAGAAACCCTATAATATTGGTAATCAATCAGGCCTTCAATTCCTACACTACCAAAATCCAACTTGAGAACACACATACTAGAGAAATCTTTACCTGCACACAAGGCAATACGGTATTTTCAAGTTTTATTCTGGCCCCAGCTGTGTCGAAGAAATGTACTTATTCAAATTTATCTGATGCGTAAAAATGCTATAAAGTTCGAAGCCAGTTTTTTTGTTTGTTTGTTTGTTTGTCTGTTTTTGTGACAAGTGTTGAAGACAATGTCAGGTTTTTCTGGGTCCTATGAAGCACAAGCTGACCAACAGAATCCCTATTGTCAATAAAGCCATGGTGGATACTGTGTTTACTTGTGTGTCACACACTGTGTGATTCACTCTCCAGGAACCCACTGGGCCATTTTGTTCTCCCGACAGTGCTGAGAGCCAGACACATAGAGCCATAAAACAATACCTAGGAAAGTAGAGCCACAGTTCCCAGGCCATGGAAGAGAAATGAGAGAAACTAGTATTTCAAGCTGGAGCTAACTATAAAGCTTGTGCTTAGTTAGTCAACTGAAGAGGTTTTACCTGCTCTTTCTCCAAAAGAGACAAAACATAAATCTGCTGCAGTAACTGCATCCTGCCTACATTTTATTTATGTCTCCCTTGCCTTGCCTTATCTTCCCCAGGTGCTAAGTTATCAGATATCTGAACCATTCTTTAAGAGGCATGGCTTCTAGTTCTTTTTTCATAATAGTCAAAGTCCTTTGAGTATGCTGACCATTGTCACTGTCTCAGAAACTGAAGAGGTGGGTGTCATTATACAGAGGGGTGTGTATGGTACTAAAAAGTGAACCCAGGGCCTTCTGCACATCAAGCACATCTGTAATACTGAGCTACATACATTTTTTCCCTCAGAAGAATTTTATAAATTATTATGATCCCATAAGTACAGACATTACATCCAAGACGCAACATCATTTTAGTTCCCTACTGCTTATTCCCCACCCACTACCGACTAATGCAAATGACTTTTTACATAATATTTGCTTATATCTTATAGAATATTCATTCTTTATTTTGTTTGTCCCTTTTTGTTTTAGACACATGGATGCTAAAGATTCAAGAGGAAAGCAGACTTGGATAGGGTCACTTGGATCCCAAGAGGTATAGCAGTGATTCAGACCCAGCTCTCTATGGGATGCTACCATGAAATATGCATTCACATTCCATCCTCCCAAGAGCTCGTACAGCCTCATAGCACAAACAGGCAAACTTCTCATTAAGCTGAAAATGCAACTGCCTCAACTTCTGGTTCCACACCATATGGTTGAATCCCAGCTGACAGGAAGCTCTTTCCTGGAACACACTGGGCTCATTTCACCAAGCAGGTTGACATGAGATTTATGGGGGAGTCATTTCCAAATCCTTTAAGCACTGGCTGCAGCAGTGGTGTTTATTTTGATGCTTCCTTTCTATATTTTTACAGCAAAGAAAGCAAATGCTAATGATGGAGAGAGACAGGTTGTATTCCATATTATTCTCAGAGTGAAATATCACTAATGTGATCACAAATAACAATGCTCATTTTATAGCCAGGAAAAATCAAAGGCCTGAAGGATAAAGGAAGGCATTCAGACCACCCCACAGGTAATTGGCTGACTGGGCATGAGACTGCATCACCTTACTGCTTCTGCACCCTGTATTTTTGCCACCGTGCATCCCTCTAGACTTTTTCAACTTCTAAGTCTGCTAAGGATATGATGCTACAGTGTTGAGGAGCCTGGTAAAGGGAAGTCAGTACAAGAGAATCTGCGGGCTGTGGAGTGCGTGTGTGTATGTGTTGTTAGACTATGCTAGGCACTCAAAACTTCCTCTTTTGTGAGGCTGGAATATCTGCATGGTGGAGAAAATCTAGAATTCAGAGATGACACTAGGGATGGAGTTCTAAGGATTATCCACCAAGAAAAATGGATATAAATATGTGTATCATGGTGTTGGGGAGGGGGAGTAGTGGTGGGGTAAGGGGATACCAGATAAGCAGACTGACTGTGGCAGAGGTGACAGGCAGGAAGAGCATAAAAATAATGGCGGTGAGAGAAGATGAAAAGTGCAAATAATAATGCCAAGAACAGATAATTCCAGTCGAAAGAATTTATAATAATAACTTAAGATAATAACAGCTAGCTCTTACCGAGCACTTAATATTTTAGCCAATTTACTGCTGTACATAGATTATTTCCTTCAGTCTTCCAACAATCTGGGAAGACAGATTCTATTATACTAATTTTATAGCTCAACAAACAGATCCAGGCAGGTTAGATAACTTGCTTAAGGACAGAAATGGGATTAAAACCACAGTGGGTTAGTCTTAGAGCCTGAGCTTTTAACCACTATGCTATGGTGACTCTTAGGGCACAAAAGAACAACTAGGATTAGTGTAAACAGGAACAGTAGTCCAAGGTGAAACAGCAGCATCATCTGTACCCATTGACAAGAACGATTCTTGTGTACAAGGCCCAAATATGATCTCATTTAATTCTCAGACAACTGGAGATAGTAAATGCTTTCAGCCCTGTTGAGAAGAAAGGAACCAGGCTTAGGGATGTCAGCAAATTGCCAGAAGTCATATACCTCATAGGTGGCAGCCATGGGTGAAAGCCAGGTTTGCTTCAATAGCAACGCATGAACCAACCTGCACGACAGTTCCAGGGCACAACCAGGGAAGTCATATTTACTGTGAACTTAAATTCAGCAACTCCAACAGTGGGATGAGAGGAAATTCTGCAAGCGTTGGTACTATCAAATTCGCAGGCACTTCCACCATGGAAATAATTTACTAAGTCATGGTTGGATATATGAATCTAAACTTTTCAGAAGTTTTCCTCCACGATTCTTAATTTGGAGCTGTGTCTAAGGATTGCTTTTTCATGCACCATCTCTACTGCAGCAAGCAAAACTGTCAGTCTGTGAGTATTGCATACCCTATATTACATTTTTTTCCTGTAAGCACATGTCCCAGCCCAAATCTCAGGGCTGAAAGGTGCAACCAATGAATATGTGGCATGAAAAATTTCCACCAGGGGACTCCAGGGAGGTTCAACCACCTTGCTTTAAAAATCCAGGAAACTGGACTCATTCACTCTTCTAGACATCATTTGTTTTAATTTGGGGTGCTACAACAAAGTACTGTAGACTGGTGGCTTATCATTAAATAATAGAACTTTATTTTTCACAGCTCTGGAAGCTTCAATTGTAAGATCCAGTCTTAGCCTTTCAGTTGCAGACTGCCAAGTTCTCAGGCTATCCATATATAGAGCAAGTTGGGGAGGGAGGAGGGAGGGAGAGAGAGAAGAGGGGAGTGGAAAGAGGGGAGGAGGGGATTGATAGAGAGACACAGACTATAAGGAAGCATGCATGTGCTTATGATCCCATCTGGTAGCCACTCCAGTCCCCTGGAAGGACACTAATCACATTCATGAGGGCACTGCTCTCAGTACCTAATTATCTTGCAAAAGCACCACCTTTACAAGTTGTCACACCAGGGGTTTCATTTTCAACACTACATTCTTCAAGGGGTGCAAGGAGCACAAATATCCCATCCATTGCATGATTTTAGTTTTCCTTAAAAACAAATATGGTACCATGAGATCAATTAAATGATTAAAATTTCTTTACCTAACACTCTTAATCTCTCAGCTCCTACTACCACTTCATTGTCATCTGCAGAGAAGAGCAATTTTCCAGATACTGTTTTCACTTCAAACTTTTTGCCATAAGCTTCTACAGCTTTTGGACCTAAAAGAGAGTCAGAGGGAGAAAGAGAAAGCAGAAATACATTAGTCTCATTGCATTTGACAACAGAAAGCTTTTCATAGGACGTATACATCTGACAAGATTGGGTTGGACTTTAATGTTAAGTAGATTGGTTTTCAGAAGCCGACCGTGAAAATCAGACTCTTGACTTGAGTCGTATCCTGTCAATTACTTTTAATCATATGCTCTCAAAGCTATGATTTTAAAGACCATCATGTCCTTCTTCCAAACTAATGGTTCAATGGAATTCCCCTCTGCTAACCACCAAATTAGTGTCAAGCAGGTGTAGATTTCCGGTTGAGTGCATTCAGGCCCACAAAGTGCATCATTCCCCCAGGCAACTGCCTGTCCCTCAGAGCCCTCACTGTCAGAGCTCCTCAGAAATCTGCTGGAATCTGTCTCCTCCTGTACCCTTGACCCACTAGCTGCCTCTGACACCAAGACAAGTTTATTTCCTCTAGAGCCAGAACAATTTCCAGCAGAAACAGCTGTAGTATATTGGAATTAATTGCCTTAGATGTTGTTAAATCTTTTATACTAGAAATTCACTCCATAAAAAATAAATGTATCCTGATGTATACCTAAATTGTACCAATAGACTTAATAAATTTAACTAATCCTGTGATGATAGATACTGCTTTTACAAGTGGGCTGTCTACAGGGGTACATAAGGAGGATGAGGCCTCTAAGCCTATACTACGATGGAGAAAGACTAACGTAAGTTTAACAATTTATTAATCAGTGATTGTAAAAACTGCAGAGGGTTTTATATACTATATGAAATGTAAAACAGGTTTAAGTATTAGAAAATTTCTAAAAGTAGGCAACATTCAGCCTGTCACAACTGGTATTTCATGAGCCTCCCACAATTTGTTAAGTGGAAATACATCAGAATAACTCATGGGTATAACTTGATCCAGCTCTAATCAAGATTTTTTTTTTATCTAGAAAGTCCTATAAACTTGATAGAGTTGGATATCTTGTGTTTTCCCTAAAGTTACATAAGAAATAATGACATATCTTTTTTGCTTTGTTTTAAGTAATTTTTCAAGAGAATATTACTAAATACTAAGTAGTCATGAAAGGGTCCACAAAACCTACCAGTCAAAGAGCACCAAGACCACAGGGGGAATAAGGCTGGCTTTCTCCTTATTGTGGGAGGGGAGAGTCACACCCTGGTAACCCTATTAAAAGGACTCACCGTAAGATTTGGCCTCACCCTAAAGATATTTTTATGAAGGTGTTAAGAAATGAAGGTAAAATACTTTCAGGAAATTAGAGTAATGTTGTGCTTGAGCATCTCAATAAACCTTTCCAAAAGTAGAAAAGACTAAGGTAACATGAAACTGATCACATCTAAGGAATTAACTGTTACCTATACTCACTAGGATAGGAGATGTTTGGTATTTTTTGTGGTATGCTTAATGTTGTTTTTTTCAGTCTGAGTTTGTAGTTTGTTAGAGTTGTCTTTGAGTGAGAGTGTGTTAATACCACTATATTGGGTTAGGATTCAAAAGACATAAATCATGCTCCAACTCTCACTTTTTGGTCATGTGGATTTTAGCAAATTATTTGATTTTTATGTACTTCAGTTTCCCTACTTATAAAACTGAAATACCATCAACTCCTTTATGTAGCTCATTGAAATGTTGAAAGGATCAAGCGACACTGAATTTACAGGAAGTGCTCCATTGGTGGACAAGTGTTGTGAAACTCAGGGTCTGCTCATGTGGTTACCAACATTGCTGCCATGATCACTGTCAGGTAGATTTGGTGGTCACAATGCATTAACAATTACTAACGATGAGCACCTCTTAGTATGCTTTACTGTTCACATGACTGTACCCATCTGGCAGACCTCATCTCTTGCTAGCACATCCCATGCTGGCCTTCTGACACAGAAAAAGACAGTGGAAAAGGTCCTTAATCAGCCACTAGCTGAGACAGTAGAGGCTGCACAGAATTTCTAAGCAGCATAAGTGAGGAGAAGGAGAAAAACCAGGTTGTGGTCTTTCCCACGGTCATTGCTAACCTCAGGGAAATTTCACTCTGGAATCCAGCTTTCAGAATCATCCCACAGAAGATAAGTCATATCTGTTTGTCCAGGAAGGGAAAGAAGACTAGAGTCTACATGAACAGAACAGCCAGGAGCTGGTGAGCTTTTTGAAGATAAGGGAAAGTAGAAAATCAGAGACAAGGACCAGAGGGAGATTATGAAGAACAGAGATGTGAAAGGAGAGATTTAGATTCAGTGATGAATCTTTTAGAGCTTTCAATGATACAAACAGCCCACAGCAGCACATGTGCCATAGGCTTGCCACCACTGTCAGCCCGGCATTAGGTATCACTGTGAGGATCAGGATGCAGCTGTCTTCGTGATTCCACCTAAATGTCAAGTAAAATCTCCATCGCTGGTGAATACTCCAAAGACAGTACCTCTTTTTTGGAAGAGAGGTAAGGGATGAGGACATAATGAAATACGGTCCTTAGGATGAGTGAACGAGTAAATGAATGACCACAGAGTGGACAAAGGCTTGCAACAATTTGCACATTCTGGATTGAGCACCTTGTCAAAGTAGAGGAATGACAGGGGGACTTAAAGACATAGACTTTGCCTCTACTTACCCAGGCAGGATGGCCAGCTATCGACCCCTGCCTGAGGATGGACTGAGATTACTCTGGATTCCTCAATGTTTGGGGAAACTTATGGAAAAGTGTACTGCAGAGATCACAACAACAGAGTGTACAGAGTACAATTAAGTTATCTTGCTTTTCAGGGCTTTACAGAAGACAAAATGGAATTTAGCAAGGGCCAGAACCACTTGCATAGCTAAAGTTCAGTAATTGGGAGTTTTAGCCAAAACCCCACTGAGCAACTGCTGGCTCAGTGAGGCAGACAGCTTGCCCTTTGTGGATTCCACCCAGGGCTGCCAAATTTCCCTGGACTGGGCTGAAAGCTTAAAAAATGACCCTAGAGGGAAATGCAAATAAAGCTGAAGCCCACTAGGGAGGTCCCTTGGTGAACCCGTTGTTCCTCTCTAGAGTGGAAAAAAAAAATCACTATTTATAATGTGAAACTAATCCTCAGTTAATCCCCTCTGTGTGTGATAGTCTATGTGTGAAGTGTCTTTTTAATTAATCTCCTAAACAGGGAGGAGAACGGGAGCCCATCAGGATGCATTAGCAGCATCCACATCAAGCCACTGCCCTGAATCTGGGAGCTGTGGTCAGCCAGCCTGATTTCCTCCATGCGAGTAATTACTCCAGCTCCATTTCCAGATGATGCTGCAAAAGATATCCCTGCCACGCCCTTCAGTGGGCAGAAGATTTGGGGTTTGCACTCATTTCTGAGACAAGAAAATAGCACCACTGCAGATCATCTATGTGACATGGCCTAACAGGGGAACTTAGATGTCACTGAAAGCATGTTTTGTGCACAAAAAAATCCTCTGAACTCCGAATACCAGGGTTTCTTATGGTCTCGAGGTACATTTTAGCTAAATGGGAGAACTGAATCCAAAGGACTTCTTTAGTAGACCTCACTGCTTACCAGTTGGGAGTGATTTGTTTTCTGGTAAGTATACCACCCAGTGGGACAGGAATTACAAAGCGCTGTCTGCCTCAACTGTGTGTTGCTTTCCACTGTGTTTATAAATTACATGAAAAAGGAGAACTCTGAAGGAAAACTAAGTTTATACATTTGAGTGTGTGCGTGGCTCTCTGTGTATTTCTGAGTTTAGAATCCTACTGTGAACATATCCACCAACCTCTGCAGAAATCATCTTGAAAGGCTCCTCTTAGTTAGGATTAGATGGGTTTTTTTGTTTATCTCATTTTTGTATTACTTGGCCTGCATTTTGCATTATTCACCTTGAAATTAAGGATAGGTGTCTCTCAGCTTCCATGGTAACTTGGTAATGGGAAACAGAAAGTCAAAAACTACTGGAGGATGAAGGTAAGAGGAGAGAGAGGGGCGGAGAGAGAAGAAAGGAGAGAGGTGAGAGGGGAAGACCAGAGGACAGAAGGCAAAGAAAGGCATGCGAGGAGAAAGGGAAGAAAGAGGGTGAATAAAGAAGAGGAGGAATAGAAAGAGAAGGGAAAGGAAAGAAGAAGGGGGAAAAGTGGGAGGCAGGGAGAGGGGGACAAGGACAGAGAGGGGAAGATGAGGATGCAGAAGTCCAGGCAGCAAAGCAGAGGCTGACTCTGGTGACTAACCGGTCATTTGGCCATTGCTAGCTTTATCAAAGCAGAAATCTCTCAAGTAAACCAAATCTCCTTCTACAAATAAATGGCAAATGATCAACAGGCTAAATAAGTTCTTTTTGAATGAGGGAAGCTGGGAGCTGGAAGTTGGATTTATTTCCCTCCTGGAGGCAATTTTCACACATGCTGTCTAAATCATTGCTTACTGAAGCTGTTTATTTAATTATTTAGCATGGTGAATACAGGCCAGATGTTACATAAGCAAGGCCAGCAATCCAGTTGCATGCCGGAAGAGCATGTTTGTGGATCACAGCCTCTGCTGAGCGGGAGTTCCTCAAACCCACGAGTGCCCAGGCTGCTGGATGGTCCAAGTCACCCAGGGGCTGAGCATCTCCCGATCGCCATATGTAGTTGTCCTGGGGAGTGGGGCTCTCCCCTAAGTAGAAATGACTCTAGGCACTAAGGCATCTATTTCCCTGTGGCTTGCTGATCAGTGGGACTCCAGAAATTTTAGTTGCAGTAAAGTTTCAGGGTTTTTGGACAAGTGGCTTCTCAACATTTCCATCTGGATACTTTTCATTTAGCCCTGAAGCCAAACAAATGGCATTTTCATCTGGAGGTATAATAATGCCACACACACACACCCCCTCCACAGTGGGCTGCATAAAGCCTTTTTATTGCCGTGTATGATCACACCACATGACACAATGCCATGGCCATGAGGCCCATGCATACTGTTATTAAGAATAACTAATCCTTGTTTAAATTTTTGGAATGTGCAGTTTAAAGTCCAGTGGGTCCCTTTGCCAGCTGTTAGAAGCAGATCTATTTAAAAAGAACCACACAAATGTATTTCATGGATACGTCTGCTTCTTGTTAATATGCTGGTATAAAGTGAGCACATATAGCAAAGATGGCATGAATGCAAGTTATCATTAAAAATCTCAAAAGCCCCTAATGAATAGTGTGTGGCTTTGTACATACTCAACTCCTTCACATACACACCTGGTATTTCTTCCAGTGTTGGAGCTGGGAGCTTTTCTTTGGTTGAGAACCAGGTGAAGTGGCTGGCTTGAATTTTGGGGCCATGATTTCTTTTTTTTATTGAGTGGGTATCAGTGGATCAAGGAATGAGTATAAAACTACAATCATGAACTATATGCTGTATTTTCTTTCTCAACACTATAAAGATGTTAACAAGCCTTCTGCTCAAGGTGCTTCATTTGACCTTCCAGTCTACATCTTCTGAGCTCCTAGCATGAACCAGGCATTGCTAGGTTCTTTCTTTGCTTACCTGTTATCAGCTGAGTTAGCACTTTAGTCTGATCGTTGAGAATGTTCACTGTCACATTTCTGGCAGATTTGAAGTACAGGGCATTACCCTGTAATAAGAAAGTAGAAGAAACACATTGAAAATGGCACATTTCTACACTAAAAGAACTACAACTCTCTAAGTCATCAAGTGATTAAACCGGGCTTAGCCAAATTCCAATTGAGTCATCTTGAGTTGAAAATCCCAAATATTTCATGATCTCCACCCATGTGAAAATTAGAAAGTATATACCCAAAACATGTCTCCTCAAAAACAGGCATATGCGCACACACACACACACACACACACACACACATCGGTTTCTCTGGAAAACACATTATTACAGTTGAGTCAGCAACAACTGCAACACACAGTGCTTGAGGTCTTACTGAAAGATGTGAGCTAGCCCTCTTACAGTTTCTCCACCAGAACTATGCAGGGTCTGTAAGGAGGGTAGGAAGTCGTAGTGAAACCTTCCAGCTCTGCCTTGGGAGGAGCACAGGCACACACTCATCTGTGAGACATCTCTGTGAAATGGCTGCACCGCATGCATTGGAGACTCAAGAGAGCCATAATCTCTGCCTTCCTTTTCTTCCCCTTTTTTATTTTTGGATTTCTTTGCTTCCAGACCCTCTGGGCTACCATCCGCTCTCCTCTTCCACAAAGGAGTGCTGGACACTTCTAAAGGTGACAGAACAGGGCCTAGCATTTCTTCTCTGTGAAGGTTCCTCATGGCAAGCATCTCAGGGAGGCTTTGACGGATGCAGTCTCTGCTGTAACTACTCCACACCGTTGTGTGCAAAACACTCCTAGACAGCACACAGCAAGAGGATGCGCTAGCATTCCAAGAAAATGTTACGGAAGTGTGATATTAGAACTTCACATCATTTAACTTTTTATTGTAAATCTTGTATGGGCTTAATGCACCATGATGCATAATTCTCCCTTCCTTTTTCCTTCCCACTACAATCATTTAAAAATGATTGTTATTTTGCTGGAGGTATGAGAGGGATGGAGGTACCCCTAAGACAAATCACTTGCTAACTTCTGTGTTAGAAGTTCTTTTCACTGATACCTGTCAGCATCACCTAGCTGTCATTGGAAAAACAGAATTTCGCAGTCACTTCTGTCTTTCTAAATCTTTATTACCATATGGCATTTACCTTTATGAACATTAAATTATGTATCTACACACTAATTCTATCCAAATACATGAAAAAAAGTTATCCTGTAAGCAAAGCAAAATTCAATCTTCACCTTCAATGCTACTTTCAGAGACAAATATGCAGGGCAGTGGATACCAGGAACAATTAGGAAGCTACCAAGAGTTGGGAGACTTTCTAAGAGGTGTAGTGATGATTTGGGTTGACCCTTGAAAAGAACATGTGAATGATTTCACCAAGTTGAAATAAATGAACAACCAAAGTCATGAAGTAGATATGGACTGGCTGTCCAGTGTCTTTCTACTTTTAAAACTGGAGAGGCTGAGCCTGGATTACGGGGCCCAGCCTAGCACCCGTGCTTGACTTTCACAATGGCGGGAAGAAATGCGATGACAATCAGTGTGCACTGATAGTCTAGAGCTATGGCCTGCATCCTCCATGGTTCCCTGGTAAGTGGGCAGCCAGGATCTATAACCCATTTATGCCCGAGTCACCGGATAACCTTCAGTGAGAGCTGCTGAACAGAAGTTACTGCCTAGGAAACACAGTGAGTGACCTCTTATACATCAGGTAGTGGCTGATTTACCCCAACCCCCAACAGTTTACAACTAACCCCCCCCCCCTTTCTTTTTTGAAATTGAGTTAGGAAAGAAGTGGGGTTTTTTCTTTTTTCTTTTTGTGTTTTTGATAAAGGGTTTCACTATGCAGCTCAGACCGGCCTTGAACTCATTTTGTAGCCCAGACTGGCCTTGAACTTGCAGTGATCCTCCTGCCTCAGCTTCCCAAGTGCTGGGATTATAGGCATGTGTCAACGTACCCGGCAGAAGTGCTTTTAATATAATATTGTCATTTTTTTCCCAAAATATAAGGGAATATCAATCTAAAACAGTTTGTCATTGTTTCAGAGTCCTCAGTAACACTTCAAAGCCATTCAAATGAAGTACAAATTCAGAACTTTTAGGACAGTTGACAATATGTTTCAGAGGTTCATGTACTAAAATTTCTCTTCATATAAATCAGCTACCTTGCCCTGTGAGGAAGAGTAGCCTGGACTTAGAAAACTAGATAAATTCCCTCGCACTGACTCTTGTGAAGCCTTGTACAAGTTGGCTCACTCCTCTGTGACTGGCTCTTCCCATTCTCCACAATGACCCCAACACCATCATCAAGCTACTGTCCTGAAGTGGTGCTCTCTATGTGCCAGGGAGGCGGCAGAAGACCTCAGGTGAGTGGACTTCCAATCCCAACTTTACCACGTGCAAGCTATGTGACACTGCACAAGTTACTTAATTATTCTGTTTCTTTACATTTTGGTGCAAATGTTAGTTACTAAATTCATGAGATGTGCTTGTTTAAAGTGGATTATGGAAAGACATGCAGTTCATTGTCAGGCACACATTAAGTCCTCAGTAATTATTAGGGTAAGGAAAAGAGGGGGAAAGGGAGGAGTGAATAACACAAAAGTGAGAAAGGGGAAAAGGGGAAGAAGAAGGTAGGGAAAATGGAAAAGGGGAGACGTGAAGAGGGAGCGATAGAGAGAAATGTTTCAGATTAATTACGTCACTGACTTTTCCAGCCTTGCAAGAGTGGAGCAGGGCTTGCTTAAATTTTCAACAGTCTCTGTTTACATCTTTCCAAGAGTCTCTCCCTATATACCTTTAGCTCACAATTGCCTTTCAAATCATGGTCTCTCCAAATACTACCTATCTGTCCTTACTAGTATTCAAAAACTCAATCATCTAAAAATCTCAATCACTTTGCTCAAGATTTACAGTGAGAGATATAATAAAACGACCTACTGCGTTTCATAACCATATCAAAATATAGTTTAGCACTAATTGTTCTAACATCCTGGGAAACAGAATCTTTGCTACATCACAGTTTAAACAAAGAACCTCATTCCCATTTGGGACACTGCCTGAATCCTCACAGTTATGCACATAACACCAAGATTACCAGGAAGAAAGCACAGCCCAGCTAACATGTGAAGAGCCTCACCATGGCAGCTGCATCTCTGGATTTCTAATTTGCTCTCTGACTTCTCTAAGTCAGGAAAACTCACCTAGCACAATCGACTAACACTAAGTTGTCTTTTGCTCTTGTATCCTCTTCTGATTTCCAAGCACTCTTTCCTGGTCACCTGTGCCCAGCTATCTGAGCTCAGGACAACCATGGAGGATAAAGGTTTAGCAGGTAGCTGCCGTAGGTAGGCTCAGCTGCTGAGGGAAAGGAGCCTGGCAGATCTTCACCTGAGGATACAGGTCAGTCAAGTCAGTGTGCAGCCAGTCAGCCTCTGAGTCTTCTGGACAAAGGGGCAGCGGCGTGGGATTTGCAGAAAGCAGGTGGCACACCATCCTCCCCAGTGGCAGGAGAAGCAAAGTCTATATCCACACTCACATCTAATAATTTAAGTCCATTCGGTGCTGGAATTCTCAGCACACAAATATTTTGATGGGAAAGAATCACATGCAGCTCTGTTTCTTTAAAGCAAAATAAGCAGAAGGGAATCAAACCTTTTCTTGATGATGACTTGAGGCCATTGAAATGAACACTGTTTACTTCATCATGTCCTCTTGGGCTACCTTATGTGTGGCTATCTGAACACTGAGTATTCCGGCATACTTACATTTAAAAATTATTGTATCTGATCTTTAACAAATGTATTATTTATTCCTATATCAAAGTAGAATGTATAAATGTCAAATGCTACAAGCCTTATAACAAAGAATAACACTTCACAGCTCTCACAGTTGCAAGAGCTTCCAATAAGTCTTGGTGTTTCATCAGGTGATTCCCTTCCTGTGACCTGAAATGTGCTTCTGTGCCATCTCTAGATATTACGCACTTAATTTCTCCAACTCTATCGACTGCATGTAACCCTGGTGAAGTCAATTTTCAGGATTTTACTTAGTTTGACTATTCCACACTCTAAACATGAGACCTACAGGAGCATCTGGTTCCTGGGTATCGCCTGGGGTCTGCATTTTCTCAGTCTGTCTTTTTTTTTTTTGATAACAGAAATCGAACTCGTGACCTAGCACTTGCCAGGCAGGCACTTTTGCTGCTGAGCTAAATCCCCCGCCCCATCTCAGATCTTTTTTTTGCTTCCCTCATTGAAAGATTGTGGATTCTGGTTTTGCCAGCCCAACCACCTGTCATGTAGTCACTTATGATCTTACATTTTTTGGATGATATTTCATGTGCATTATTTATATTTCCATTCTCTGTGACCCTTGGAATTCACTCCCTCCATTTCTCTTTCACTGGGGTTTCTGAAGGAAGCAGGACCTATGATTCCTCACAGCTGTCACTGTATTTGTCTCTAGACAAAACTTACATGATTGCCCTCCTAAGAGAAAAGCTAGTTTAAAATGTATGCAAATCACAAACAGGGAGTAACTGGTTCAGGACCCAAGAGCTTTTCTGAAGCATCCTCCGGACATTAACGGTGTGTGTGGAACATGTCGAATTCTGTTCAGGCCCTTGGAGAATGGGAAATGCGAATGACCTTTATCTTTAGGAAGCATCTGAGTTAGAGACTGAGTTAGTGCAAAATAACCACCATGACAACGCGATAACACTTCAATCAAGAGTTATGCTCTCCTGGTACAAGAGTCACAGATTTTACTATTTGCATTTCATCCCCCCCTATCTCCACAGTCTTTTTGACATGATGTGGCAGCCAGAAGTTTCTTATCTTGATAATCCTATACTGTAGCATATTCTCCTTGCCCTCGGAGGAACTAACAATCTGCTCTGGTAATTTAGATACACAGAGAAAACACAAGATTGTGCACAAATAACTTCTACACCCAGAGGAGGCTCTGAACTCTCGGTGTGGAAAGTGCTCAGAGGAGGAAGGAGGAAGGATGGTTGGAATCCTAAAGGGAACACTGCTCAGGAGAAC